AGCATGAGCACAGAGAGCAAACAAAACAGTACAAGTGCTAGGCAACGGTCTGATTGCAATGTGCTGCGTGCTGCAGCTCCTGCAGAAGCTGCTGAGTGGCTGGGAGCACGCTGGTAGTGTTTCAGTCCTTGGCTTCAGATACAAGTGCTATAAGTATCCCTACATTTTAGTCATCTGCAGCTGTAACTGTCATTGGGAGTCTGCAGAGACACCAAGCAGTACAGACTAGCTTTGACCTTTTACATTGCCATGTATAACCAGAAACCATTCTGTCTGTAGCAAAGAATCCCAGTTCCCAGTGGTTTCTGTCCATGTGGGGGTGTATGTGTATGCATGCACACAGTCACACATGTATGTGCTGTGGAGAGTTCTGCTCTCGTTTTCTGCCCTCTAACCACTTCCACAATCAGCTGGTCAGAGGCAAGTGTGGCCTCAACAAAAAGATCTCTGTGAGTAGCTTCCTATTAAATAGTGACTAGGAACTCCTCCACTAATCTGCCTCTGATTGCTGACTCTAGCTTGACCCTGAAGAAACAGAGGGCATGGACTAACAGGACAACTATTTCCAAGCCTGGCTTAATTCTAGGAGCTGCCATTGGCCACAGCCATCCCCGGGGCATTGCCCCACATCCTCCCCTCCAGACACCAACCTGCCTGAGGAAACCCCACAAGCTCTTCAGCACTTGCCTTTAACAGCAAGGTTTCACAGTGCTGAGTCTGCAACAGACAGCCATGTAACCAATTCCCTCCTCATATAGGCTGCCTGTTCCACTGCCGCAGCATAGGAGCAGCCAGTGCATTTTCTTCTGCAGGCTGGATTACTAAAACACCGTTTGCTGGGGCTTCTCCCAAGCATGCCTCAGAAGATTCAGTTAGTGCAGATTGGAGCTGTGTGCTCGGGTTTTAGTGCTAGCCATGCTGAGCTTATTAAAACTGCCTTAGATTAATAGATTGCCTTATCTTATTTAAGATTTATAAATCTCTTGGATTTATGGTACTAGTACTGCAGAAATTCAGGCACTGTGCTTTCCTTGAGTACCCCTCAACTCTCGCTGTCAGCCAGAGAGTGCAGGCAAACCATCCCCAGCACTGAAATCTGAAGAGAAGCTGCCTTATCTCAGTTTTGGTTTTCTGCCTTTTTTTTCCCCTTTTAGGAGTTACACCAAATAAAATTTATGGTTTTCTGAGAAGGAAGAGCTGCTGCCTTTACCCTGCCCTTTCTCTAAGGAATGAATGCAGCACAGGGCGAGGTGGCAGCCACAAGACTTCACATTTTCCACAGGCCTGGTTGGTTGGGAAACATCTAAGACAAGTGCCAGAAATTTTGCAATAGGTTTGTTCTTTTAAGGGAAAAAAAAAAAAAAAAAAAAAAAGAAAATGGCTTATTCCAGTTAATATGTCAGCATTTTTTGCAGAAGTCTTTATAGGCCTTCAGGCAGAGCAAAAGAAAATTTAAAATCACAAATAACCTATTGCAGAGAAAGCGAAATACACCATTAGGCATATGAAGTGTGTCACCTCTGCTTCACATTGTGCAATGCCTTCTAACACAAGACATTGTAAATAAAAGATGTAGCCTTCTGTGACATAAGGATAGCTGTCCTTGTTTAACAGCTGAACATAGCAAAGCACAGAGAGAGCAAAGCACAGGCAGACTTTGAGACCTAACCTACTGTGTGGAGGGGGGCTGAGAATGACACTGGAGAGTGTTTTTCCAGTATGCTGCCTTGCTGTCCCAGCCCTTGGCCTCACCATTCTGTTTGGGTATGTCCAGTTTCCAGCCATTAATAAGGCACCTGCTTCAAATGCTGTTGTTGAACTGGTGGACCACTGTGCCCACTGCACCCAGGGCCAGGAGCCTTTCACTTCAGTCCAGTGCAATGCTCAGCATCCCTGAGGTCTCTCCCTGTCTCTGACTCTTTGCTCACTTCTACTAGGACAGAATGTACTAAGCCGACAGGTGGCATCACAGTGACATTTGGGACCTCCAGAGGGAAGAGACAGTGCAGAGGCTGCTAGCTGCAGAGTGCTCTGAGATGCTGGCGAGATGCTGGCGAGAGTCTCCCTTGCAAATGCGATAGTCACGGCAACAGTGCTCTGGCTTCGCCCGGAGAGCAGTAATTCAGCTTTAAATGTAATTCCATATATTTGGTTTGTAGTGCAGTATTGCTCCCCCCAGCAGTATGCTCAAAACGCCTGAAGTGTTTTTCCCTTACCATACCAAAGACAGGAGAGGGTCATCCAGCTTGCTTTTCCAGCACTTAAAACCACAAGTGTGAGAGCCGAAGCAGGTCACAGCTGGATGACATACTCATTTCTTAGGCTTTTCTTATTGCAGGATACAAATTTCCTTAGTGTGACAGAGTATCACTGTGTGCCCTTTTAAGTACTGCATTCTGCTGCAGTGCTCAGGGAGATCGACACGCAGCACAAAGGCAGCTGCCCGGGAGAGGCACGGCAGAGCTGCAGTCAGCACCAAATGCAGCCTAAGAGAAGGAACAGGAGTTTAATTCAGCTGGAGTCTGTAGCTCCCAGTCAGATCCTTGCTTAACGGCCAGGCAATCGTCAGCTGGCAGGGGCAGCACACTAAGCATCCCAGTAAGAGCGGCAGGAGGATGAGTGGTGGTCAGCAGTGACTAGGCACACACTTCTGCATGAAAATGAGATGGCAGTTTGTATTTTTAGGCACCTGGTGTGCAAGATAGCTATGTGGTTCTTGCAGGCAGTATGCAACAGTATGAGCAGACAGTAACTCTTGTGGGAACAGGTTTTTTTTTCTGAACTAGCTACTGAAAAACATTAATGTGTAAATGACCTGAGGACTTTAACCCTCAAACATTGCCCAAGAGCTGCGCAGTAGGATGTGACCTGCAAGTATGGGCTTCTCACCATCAAAGCAACAGTTATCTTCTGGATCAGCCAGAAGCAATGGTTTTAGAGAGGGGGAAGACATAACTAGCAACAATGCATCAGCTTGGTAGCTCAAGAACAGAAGTCTCAGGGTTGCTGAGATTTGGTCCAAGCCTGAGAACTGGTTTCCCTTTTTGGAAACATTTAGCTGTGTAACTGCCCAGGACAGACCACATCTCCACCTGTTTCTCTTTTACTTCTTCCCATTCTCTTTTCTTTCTGTCTTCTTTGCATGATCCTCCCATTGGTATGGTTTGTAGACTGTATGCTATAGATGGGTGGTCTGACGTTTACCATTTTAAACATCACAGGAAAAAGTACATTTACACTGGGGGATAAAATAAAAAAGGTTAAAAAAAAGTGTAGACAGCAGTTAGATGAATCAGCACTGGCAGAGGAACTCTGAAAGCCTCCCACAGCTGAAACCCTCCACCCGTGCTCCTGATGCCTGTGGCTCTCCTTGAGGAGTGTGGGCAGCTTTGGCCACCCCACCGTGGCAAGAAGGGCACAGATGAGCAGAAGCCTGACCCTACCCCCTCCCTTATGGTGGCACAGTCCCCAGCACTGGCATAAGAAACACCCCTCTGCCTGCAGGCAGCTGCCAGTTGTCGATAGGCATCACTTGCAGCATGTTAATCACCGGGGTGATTAACTGAGAAACCCCCTACCCTGCTCAAGACTTTCTGCCATCCCAGGCACTATCACGGGCTAGACCGAGGGCAGCTAGCCAGGGCTGTGGACACCCAGAACCCCCCCAGCTCCACAAATATGCTTTCTTGCAGCACAGGGGTACAGCCTACATGTGGATGAAGCATGTGGTGTGTCCATGACTGATTCTTGCCCTAAATTTTTGGGACAGAGACACATAGCTGTCATTCTCCTCATTTACAAAACAGGGAACACAGGCAGAACATGAAACATTGTGTCCCAGATCATGCTGCCTGCAAGCAATGGCACAGCTATCATGTCAGCTACCTCCGGCAAACATGGCATCGGTGCTGACCCGGACACTAAAGCCCCTCTCGCTGTCTTTTCTCTTCAGCAAGGAACAAATTGTCTTGCTCAGAGCTGGCTGTCCTTACATTTGGAATAGGCAGATTTCAGTCATTCAGAAAAGAATAAATTATCATGTTTTAAGTTAATTTCCACCAGAAAAACCAAATATTTCCAATGATATTGTAGTATTTACATTCCACACCAGAAACATAAAACTATAGAGAAACCTAATGCAAGCTGACTTACTGAACCACAGCTAGCAGTCCTACCAAGTGCAGGAGGGAAAAAGAACACTGAATATCTGTCTTAAATCTGTTCAAATATGCTTAAGAAATGGGATATGTGAAGTGTACAAAATACAAGTAATTCAAACTGATGCCATTTCTGTGGCTCTCTTTTTCCAGCCTCAGCTCAGAACACTTGCCTTGAAGACAGTCTCCTACACTATTCTATCCAATATAGTTGTCTAATGTTTTCACTTAAAGAATGTGCCAAAGTTTAGTCAGAATGAGTCAAGAAAATGTTTCTTGATGTAACAGAACACAAATAAACAAACAACAAAACAAATGTTTTATTTCTATGAAAAAAATCCCAAACGTAACAAAAAGAAAATGTTCTTGAAATGCCCATTTCTTAAAGTGGCAGCATATTTCATAGAGTGCCTCTCAAAATGAATTGGTTTCATTGTGATGACAAGTATTCCTCTTCTATTAATATTTTTCATTATCAGCTACAAGATATGAAATGCTGTACACTGGAAAGCAATACATGTCTGGCAGGGCTCACAGGATAAAGCCAAACATAGCTAGGGTTTCAGTTTGGCAGCATCTTGTACCTCTAAGTAGACCCAGTGACAGGCATGCCTTCATGTATGGCATGTATTCAGCAGTACTGAATTAACATGCCTTGCTGGAGAACTTCAGGGTTTTTTAGTACCATCAGTTTTGTCAAAATAAGAGTTTCCCTTCCTTTATGAAAGAACAGCAAGGAATATAACTTCTGCTTTATTCTGAACATGGTCTGTCTTCACAGGTTTTCACCGTGACGAGTGCTCCAGTTTCTGTTTCATCCTTTCTTTCCTCCGTGTCTCTTACTGTTGCCTGAATCTAGACTCATGAAGAATTTTCTCCACCTGTTTTGCAAAGCCAGGACTATACTCTTACAGTGTATTAACAGCCTGCAAAAGAAAAAAAGTCTTCTCCTGGTAAGTGGGTTATTCAGTGGCCTCACAGGTATCACAGAGTTGTATTTGATGCTGTTAGGAGCATTGACAAGGGAGGTGAAAGACTGAAATACATACTAAATTCAGAAAATTTTGTCAGTAGTCCATGCTGAGACATTCACAGCATCACTTAAGTTTTCCAGGACATGTCCAATACAAGGCATCGCTGCAAAGATTATGCCAGATTTAACACAAAATTTACTCTGTAGCAGGTTCTGGATCTGGATGGCTTCACCTGCATCTTTGTTAGTGCTCAGAATCACACAAATACAGAAAACAGCCTCAGTAGTCTCGTTACTGCTGCCACCTGAAGCTCTGCTTGTGGGCTCCCTGATTTCAGCAGAGAGGCTGCACCATTCACTAATTGTCTTGGAGTCTCCTAGACCTGTACTCAAGCTGCTAGCCTTTTGCTGCTCTTTGCCGAGACTGGTTTGTCTGGAATTAGTGTTGCCCGTTATTAAAAACACACAGATACAAAGATGATTTGTTGGTGTGACTAATGTCTGCTTTCTCCGTTCTTTAAAACAAACAAACCAACCAACCTGAAAAAACCCCAGACAAAAAAACCCCACCAAAAAATGAGAAAGAAAAAAGCAGAACTACTGAGTGTTAGGATAATGTAAAAAAAAATAAAAATTCTTCACCTTTTTAAAATAACAAACTTGTTTGTCTGGTGGAAGCTGTTACTCGTGCTGATGAAAGAAGGCAGAAATGCTGAGAGAAAAGCTGATGTTTAAGTTCAATAGTTCCTAGCCGTTTTTGCTGATTATCTCGATGCTGAGCACTCTCCAGCTTACAAGCAGGCTGGGCACTTCCCATGGAGGCCCACCAGCTGTCACCAATAGCAAAGTCCATCTGGAAGGCTCCAGCCCTTGTGGTTCCTATGCTGCAAAGGGCGGTGCTCGGCTGAAGATGTCAGCAGAGGGATGGCAGGGTGGAAGCTCATCCCTCCCCTGTGTGATCTGTGCTCTCACCCCAGCTGAAGTCAGTGATGGTCAGACATAGGGGTTGCCCATCAGCCAGCAGCACCGTGAAGCCACTGCATCAGCTTTGGGGAGGTGATATAAGGCGTAGCACCTGCAGAAAATGGAACAGCCAGCCTTTTGGTGTCTCATTCCAGTTTATTTATTTAATCATCATTTTAACAGCTTGAGCTGAACTTACAGGAGCATCCTCCCTCTGCACAATGAAGTTGGAGATGCTGGGATTTTTAATTCTGCTAATGTCACTCTCAGACCTGAGCAAATCCCCCAGGCGAGAGCCGAGCAGGAGAGATCCTGCCACTTTCAGCAACAGCCAAGCTGATTTAGCTGTAACACGAAAGCGCAGCCAAGGCTCATACCCTCCAGGGGATTTAGGCAACTGAATTGGCCTTTAAATTAATCTGGGTTCCAGTGCCCTCACCCAAGTTACAGATGTCATCTGGGACAGAATCAGGCTTCGGACAGTAAGGGCAGTAGTACCTGCAAAGAAAGTGCTGTCTGCCTGGTGCAGCCCCACCACTCCCATTCCCTGTGTTTCCCCACCTCTCTTTTAATCTTCTTCCCTCTAAAATGCTGGTTGCTGTGCAGCCTTCTGCCTGAGAACGAGTGGGCAGGTTCACCGGTGGGACCACGGGTATTGCCCCTTCGTCAGCCTGAGAGGTTTCTGATGCAACGCAACCCATGTCTGTCAGCAGCTGAACACCTTCCCTGGGGGCTTGGTGCTCTCTCAGCACCTCCTGCCCTGAGAAGCCTGTCAAGGTCTCCCACAACCAGGTCTCGGTCTGACCCACAGCTTTTCCTTTCTTTATACATGAAGTTAAGCCGGCATTAGCCTGTTCAATCTAAATATAGCACAGGCAGCAGCAGTTGTCCCCTGCTTCATGCTTTCCTGCACTTACAGCCCCATCTAGCTCCACACACTGTGCTTCTGTCCTTAATTATTAGTTTCATTTTACTGATAGAGCTTCAGGAGTTTTCCAATGAGTGGGTAAAGAGGCAGCATTGGTGTTTGGCATGGGAAGAGCAGAGGCCCAGAGAGCAGCGGCACTTTGTCCCTCAGTAACACAAAGCCCATGTGGAGCCTCCCTTGATCTACCTCCATTTTCCATCAGGCTGTGAAATTTTCCTCATTAAGTGAAAGTACACTGTGCATGTTGTGTTTTAATGTTGTAATCTCAAAAATATGGGCAGGAGAACCAATGGCCTCCAGAGACAGGTGCCAAAACACTGCAGCTCCTTTTAGGGTAAAAACAATTAATGGTATTAAAATCAAACAGGGTGCTTTTTTTTTTTTTTCTAAAGCATGTTCAGCCTCAATCAAGTCAATAAATATTGGAATAAGCATATCATAGAATCATAGGATGGTTTGTGTTGGAAGGGACCTTAAAGATCACCTAGTTCCAACCCCCCTGCCATGGGCAGGGACACCTCCCACTAGACCAGGTTGCTCAAAGCCTCATCCAGCCTGGCCTTGAACACCTCCAGGGATGGGGCATCGAGAGCTTCCCCGGGCAACCTGTTCCAGTGTCTCATCACCCTCACAGTAAAAAATTTCTTCCTAATATCCAATCTAAATCTACCCTCTTTCAGCTTAAATACATTACCCTCTCTCCTAGCACTACACTCCCTGATCAAGAATGCCTCCCCATCTTTCCTATAGGCACGTCTTTAAGGATAGCTGGTGATCTGATCATGCAGCCTAACAAGTGAAGGACGTGGCTCTGGATTTCGCAGGAATGGTGGATTTGAGAGAAAATGCTGCCCATTAGAGAACAGAGCAGTGTCTTATTCATAATGCAGCCTGCAGTAGGAAGCTGAGAGCATGAACACTGAAAATGTCTTACACATGGAAATAAAGATACAGGATAGCTGTACACTTATTTGTTATGTACATTTAGTCCCTGTAAAGCTGCAGAAATGCGGGCGTGGGATCTATGCATCCTACACAGTGTCCCCAGAGCAGTGCCTGATGTTCATGTGGCTGTGTTCCCACGGCACAGAACTTATTTTCAAATTATTCAGCAGAAATTTGGGCTTCTTTCTTTTGCTTAAAAAAAAACCGCCAAGAGAACAATTCAGAGGTTTGCCTTTGCAGTAAGAATGAATTGGCAGCAGGCTAAGTGCATTGAGCAGTAATTATAGTGAGACACAGAGCTTCTGTAATAATGATCCCTTAAATTAAATTCACATGTGATCTGATATAGGGTCAGGCGTGGAGTTTCTGTGCTTGGTTGCTGCCCTCTCTTGGCAGCATGACCAACCTCCAGGAGGGAAAACAGAATGAAGGTTGTCAAGAAGCAAAGAGAATTAAATAAACCACGCTCACTCAAGAGAAGATGTAAGAAAGAATCTTGTACTAAAGAAAAATGCAAATTTTGCATCTTTTTCCACATTGGAAAAATAATTAATTGCTTGTAAGAAGTCAGATCTGTCTTCTCTAAGACAAGGTCCATTTACACAGTATGTCTGTGTGAGTGATGAGACCATTTGTTTGTCACAGACAAACATAATCCTTTCCTATATCTTATACACCTACCAGCTACCTTGCCCTACCTCCCCTGTAAAAGCAATTTTCTAAAAATGAGTGATTTTTGCTTTTCAGTCCCTACAAGAATCTTTGAGCAGGCCTCTAAGGCATTGCCCCAATTGCCTTCTATAAAGATTTCCATCTGTAGTATGTATGTTTTATTATCAGTGTCAGAAAGGCTGGAAGGAAAGTGGACCTTGTGAATAACTAATGCTTTGTGGCAAATATGAGCTGTGCACTTCAGGACAAGTCTGCTTCCAGCTCTAACTTCAAGAGGGGTAGTCTATGTCATTCAGGATCCTGTTTGTAGGTAAAGAAATACATCCCACATAGCAGTTTACTGTCAATTCTGTGTACGCTCACATAGCTCGCTATCAGCCTGTGTGTTCATAGACCATGCATGCAGCGCATTTATACTCAAGGAGGCTGCAAACAAGCAGCCATCTGATTACTCAGGGAGGAATACTTTCTCACATGCAAACCATCAGTGTCTGTCTTGTTCCATATCTCATCTATGCATAAGAAAACACAAATTACTTTGTCAGGTAGTGGAGGTCCTCCCATGGAGAAACAATTCCTCATCATCTTGCTGGACAGTAGAGGCTTCAACCTTAAGAACATCTTCCAGAAGTCCTACTTTGTGTCAACAGAAACATGTTGACAGACACATGTATCCTCAGCCAAGAAGCACAAGCAGTATCCTCCAGTCAGCTGCCTTCCCCCCAGGCATCCTTCCTAGAGCACCAGAGAGACCACCATTGACAATAACACTGCCAAAGAGGGTTGTCAACAGATCCTTTTGGTTTGATTCCCCAGGAAAAAAATATGTAGCGTGTTTTACACTGAACATTTCTGAAAAGTGAAGAAGAGTATTAATGGTACATAATTTTAAGGTTTCTCAGAAGAGTGTTTGAAATTTGAAGTTATGTAAAGCTATCCTATATTCTCATAGTATGATTGAAATAGCCACAGAATATTTTGAAGTTGTGTTTAACATAGAAACAAGAATAAAAACCAAGGAAATTTGTCATTTGCTGTCTTTGAAAGGTGTTTCTCTTCTTTTCCCCACTTGTAATTGGGATAACATTGCTCAGGGAGCCAAAACTGACTCTTCTCCCTAGGGGTATGTAGGAAAGTATAGCACTGCCTCTCCTAGCACCTGCTTCCAGCTGCACAGGTGTGACCCCCACCAGTACTTCCTTCTGGTTTACCTGGGGACAGGTTTACATGGTAATTTGCTGTTGGCTTTAATAGGGCACTCACTAGTGCTTCAGCGGTTTGGGGCTCACATTCCATGGTCATGTTTCTGCAATTCAGGGTGAGAGCATGGATGCTCAAGCACCGGGAGGAAGCTCAGACAAAGCCAAGATCTGCAGAGGAGGGAACAGCAAACTGGACGGCTCCTTTCTTGTATCCTAGTGGTGGGACGGCTGTACAGAGATCTCTGTCCTTACAGCTGCTCGTGTGTGCGTGTGCTCTTGCAGACACCAGGGCTGAAGAAAATCTTTGGTTTGCCTCAGTGTTTTACTAGACAGATAGGTAAACCCTGAGGCAGGACTCAGCTCAAAAAGGCCAGCAAAAGGAAGCCTGGGGTCTTCAGCAGCTGCTGGCAGTCTGGACTTGGACCTGTGACATCTTCCACCGGGGGGTAGTTCATCTGACACAAACCACCTGAACTTTAGTCTTACTGAGAGCAGATGTTTGACACCAGCTACCTGAAAAGGAATGCTGTAAAAGAGCAGGAACCTGTATGCAGCAGGGTCCTACTCGGTCATGCCGCGCTCTGTGTGTCAGCTCTTAGGTGAGCTGGTATCCAGGTGGGGAATCCACCTCCACAGCTCCCCGAGTCACTGAAACAGGAGCTGGAAGGTGTCCCAGGCTCTTGTGTCTCTGCCTCACACTGAGAGCTGGCATCCAGCACATCTGTGCTATGGCTAGCTGGTGCTCACCGATGCTCATTAAGAGTGACCTGGGTCAGGAAGAAGTGGCTGCAAATCCACTTCACAGGGGGATTTTCACTTCTGAGATGAAAAGACACAAGTTTGGAAGCTAAAGAGATCTTTATGGGGGTTGTTTCTCCACACATCTGGGAAGACTAGAAGCCTGTGCCTGCTCTCCCACAATCCACACAAACCTGTTCGAGCTCATCCCACCCACAGACCTCTTGAAGCTGGGGAAAAGCCTTGTCCTGTGGAGGCTGGACTCTGCTGCCTGAGCTGTCACATCCTTTGTAGCTTCTTAATCAGCAGCAGAGCTTTTGACCACTGGAAGCTTTGTGGGAGTGAGGGCACACAGGAATTTTGCTCTCATGCCCTTTTGAGCAGCAGCCGCAGTGCTGGCAGCACCCAACCTGCTTCCAGTGGGACCCACAGTCCCTGGAGGGGGAACCATCCCTGTCCCTGGTTTGCCCTGACACCAGGTGTGACATCCTGCCCCCCTCTGACCCTGCTCCACCCCACAAATGCGTGGAGCTCACACAGCAGAGATGTGGGCACTAAACAGGTGTCTCCGGAGGGACACCAGGGCCATTGCCAGTGAGATCTTGCTCCTGACAGCCCTCCTCTAGGTTCCCCATCACAGCATGTCTCAGAACCCTGTGGGGATGTGAGTGCCGAGTCCTACCCTTTCCTCCACAAGGCAGGGGCAGTGCTGTGGGGTGCCTTGGAGAGGGACAGCTGGGCACACGTTGGGAGCAGGAGCCATGGGCTGGGGAGGGGTCCTTTTCAGGCAGGACAGTGACAGCTCCTCTGGGGAAGGAGGTCAGCAGGAGGCTCAGGCCATTCAATTTGTTTGGTTGATTGGTTGTTGGGTTGGTTTTTTTTTTTAGAATATCCCACATTAGCTACACCATCCCACAAATACCTCACAGTCAGCTTCTTTGTCTTAATTTGAGACGCCACCTCAGGCACACAGAGAAAACCCTGGAGCTGCGGGTGGGCAGATAATGGTCTCTGAAGGGTTTAGGTTGCTCTGTGCTGTTGCAAACCTTCCAAGTGCTATTTTACAGTTGCCACAACCAAACTTGTGTACACAGGTTTTATTCCTTCTGGTCATCTGAGTGCTCATGACCACTCAGACCTTTTTTCCCTATGAACTGCCACAAGATGGCAAAATACTCACCACCATTGCTCCCAAGATTTCTAGCCAGCACCTGCAGGCTGGAGCTGTGGCTGCAGGAGTGGAGCATTTCCCTCTCCCTGTGATTAGCTGCTCCTCAGCATGTCCAGGGGTGCCCCTCCAACAACCTCCAGAGATCAAGAGCTGCTCATTGTCTCCAAACCCTGAAAGTCCGAAGCAGAGCACCTGGAGTATTACATATACCTCCAAACCAGAAGGATGACACCAAATTCCGTTGAAACAATAAAAAAGACCAAGTCAATATATGATACAGCGTGTTATACATTAATCCTCTTTTAATGTATGTGGCTGAAATATACCGAATCCAGTAAAATGCTTAGTATCTGGGTAACTCAAAGAACTTGTCTCTGATCAAAATTTGTATTTAATTAAGCTACACATACAGCAATAGAGATGTGCAATGGCTCATGAGTACAGTGAGAAAAATAAAACAAAAAGAAAAGTTAAATTGTTTAGGGTAGCACACTTGCTTTAAAAATTTTGTCATCAGGTCAACAAAATTCATGCAGCATTTAAGAAATCGCAGCCATCAACTACATCCCAAGCCTCCTGGAAAGTGGAGCACAAGTGCAGCTGCCCCCCAGCATCTCCCTTCCCACCAGCAGCAAGCAGGAAGCCTTACACAATGTGCTGGAGAGGCCTCTCATAGGGGCACTGAAGTCCTGCTCTGCAGTCAGCAGCGTCATGGGCTTGTTGCGCGGCTCCTGGCATAGCTGTTGGAGCTGTTTCCTCCAGTGAGCCATGCTCAGGCGCTCCTGCCCCATCCCTGGGAGACAGGAAGAGAAAGAAGCTGTTAGGCAAGCTCCAGGCCCTTGGCACGGCAGCCCCAGGCCAAGAAGCGAAGATGAGGGGGTATTGGCCTGGTGCAGATGCTGTTCCTGCTGCTTCCGCTGCTCCAGGTGCTGCAGCATGACCTGCAGGCTGGTCTGCTGCTCGGACACCTCTCTGCATGCCTCGCGCAGGGCTCGCTCCCCTTCCTCGTACTTCTGGGAACAGAGCTGCTGTGAACTGCAGCGCAGATGCTCCGCTTACCTCACCCATGTTTTTCACCTCCTCCTCCTGCTGCCGGATGCGCAGCATGGCCCTGTTCACCTTCTCCTTCTCCAGCCTCAGCTCCTGCCAGGCCTTGTCCAGCAGCTCCCTCTCCCTCCTCAGCTGCTCCTCCTGGGCCTCCAGCTCGGCCTGCTCCTAGGATGGGCACGGCAGAAACCGATGCATCACCTGCCCTGTCCCGGACACTCTCTCTGGCCCCAGACTCCTCGAGAAGCCGCAGGCATCATGCGCGCACGCACACACACACGCAGCCTCTCGCATCCGCGCGCCAGAGGGTTGGTCTGATTGCGATTCACCATGCGCCCAGCTGCGGGACTGAGGAGGCACAGGGCTGAGGAAAGACAATGCCGCCCAGCACCCAGCTTCTTCCTCCACCACACACTGCAGCACAGCA